AAAAAAAAAAAAAAAACCGCTCCGGTTTCTTTGCACCCGCCGGGAGCCGGGGGGAGGGGCACTCGGGTCCCACCGTGCCGGGGCTTGTATCTTACCCCCTTTGCAAAGCACTGGGTTCTTGCAGGTCTGGTTGTGGTCTGGATGTTGTCCTGTGTCCTGTGGTCTCTATTTTAGGAAGATTTTTCTTTGTTATATTTTCATAGTTCTATGTGTTTTTTGGGGGAAATTTCCACTGCTGTACTCACGCCACCATCTTGGCTCCGCCTTCGTGATTTTTTTTTTTAACTTTAGTTGTGACCATTCGCCTCTCTGTTTTCTGTCTTAGAGCCTGAGTAATCTTTCTAAAACATCTGAATCTTTGCTTAAAATCTTTTAGTGGCTCCTTAACCTTTAGGATGGAACCTCCCCTCCTTGACACAGTTTTCAATATGATTTGTAATATAGTCCCATTTGCATTGCCCTCCTTACATCCCTTTGAAGAAATCCTGCACTTACTTGCTGTGTTTAATTTAAAGTTAATCTTGGACCTTTGTGTTGTGTCATTGCCCACCCACCACCCCCTATCCTGGTTAATTTCTATTTGTTTTACTGCTTCCTTCAAGGAACCATTTATTTTCCCCAAGTCTCTTAGTATCCTCTTCCTGAGTGCTTTTTAAAGACACTTTCATACTTTATTGTGATTTCTTCTAGTCAAAATCTGTTAGATTGGGCGCTCATTGCCAGCTCAGGAATTACCTACGTACCATCATGTCCCTAGGGCCTAGTGATAATGTGAATATAGATGCATAATAAATAATACATGAGTGATTGAATGAGGAAATGAAAAGCAATTTGATTTGTGATTTTAATTATGTTTTAGAGGAAGCTCGTGAAAGTGATTGGGATGGCATCATTGCTTGCCATCAAGGTAAGCTATCTTGCTCAACCTGGAACTACCAAAGATCTACAATAGGCGCTTACTTTCTTAAGCCAAAGGAGCTCAAGACAGATGACATAACTGCAACAGTAAGTGAGATTGCATGTAAGGGCATTTTCTGCATAAATCTCTTCTATGTTAATCTTGTTATACTCAACTTGATTAATGATAATTTTGGTTGAAAGAGTATCGTGTTACTATTTGGAAATTATTCCCTAATGGTATTAAGTTTTCCAATTGCCAAGCATTATTTTAGGTTTAATTAAGCTTAGTTTAATCACAGTATATTGGTTATTTTAATTTTCTAATTAATACACAATTACTCAAAATACCTTTGAAGATAATTTTAGCATTTGTCAATATACTTCTCACCTGAATTATGTTGCATATACAGTACCATACACAATGAGCATGAGTCTTAACAGTTTTTTTTCTTTCTTGATTTCTTTCTAAATAGGAATAAGATTTATTGAATTACAGACATAGAAGTCATTTAAGTCCATCTTTATTTCTTTGTTTCTTGTGAGAAGTACCTTTCAGAGAAATTCTAATTGAATTCTTTGTAGGCCTTCTTAAAATACGTCTTTTAGATGCTAGTGTTTACTTATAAATTCTTACTCTTTTGAAATTTTGTTTTCTTTGTTAATATGTAAGTCTCCTTCAGTTGGGTTCAGGTTTTAAGATATAAAGAAATGATGTCACGCTTGGTTTGCAGAATTATTGTTTCTGCTTTTTAAAATATAATTTATTGACATATAATTCAGATGCCATAGAATACACTCAAAGTTTACAATTCAGAGGTGTTTAGTATAGGAGTTGTGCAATCATCACCAAAATCAAATCAGTCTTATTTTAGAACATCTCATTACTTCAAAAAAACCTTATACCCAACAGGAGTCATGCACATTCTCTCACTTTTGCTGTCCCATCTCTCTCACTGAGGCAATCACAATCTGCATTTTATCTCTAGATTTGTCTATTCCGAGCATTTCATATAAGTTCAGTCAGACAATATATTGTCATTCTACTGGTTTCTTTCACTTGCCACAGTGTCTTTAAGATTTGTCCACAATGTAACGTGTATCAATAGTTTATTCATTCCTTCTATTGCTGAATAATACTTCATTTTGTGTTACAAACCACATTTTTATAGCCATAGATCAAGTTGATGGACATTGGTGGTGTTTCTGTTTTTGGACTGTTGTAAATAATGCTGCCAAAAACATTAGTGCACAAGATTTAATGTGGACATGTGTCTGTTTCTCTGCACTTATAACTAGGAGGGGAATTGTTAGGCTATAAAGTAATCCTGCCAAAGTGACCATACCATTTTACATTCTCACCATCAATGTATAAGGGTTCCAGTTTCTGTACATCCTAGCCAACACTTGTGATTGTCTGTTGTAGTAGTAGTGATAATGACAATTACAGCTAACATATTTTGTGTATTTACTTTGTTCCAGGCTCTCTGTCCAGCACATACTATTTTACTATCCTCATAACATCCTATGATATTGTCTATTGTTAACCTCCTTTTATAGATCATAAAACTGAGGCTTAATGTAATGAGTAACATGCCAAGGTCAGTAAAGCTAGTAAATGGAAGTGCTGGGAGTTGAACCTAGAACCACTCATTCCAGAACCTATGTTCTTAACTCACAGCCTATAGTGATCACTTGTAGACTGTTCATCTAGTACATGTATGTACGGTAATACTTAGCTGGTGTTGAGTCATTTGTTTGGCAAACTGAGCAACCTGGTAAACCAGTGACCAGTATGTAATAAACATGTTTATCAAAGAACCCATGCGCTAAAATACAATTTGTTACTTAAAGGTGACCACCTTATAGCTGATTCACTTTTGCTTTGCTTCTGCTTTCTTTAATAATAGGTTACCATGAATAAATAAGATGAAGACTGCCAGAAGCAAACCCACTAACAACAGTAAATCATGTTAAAATAAAATTTATAGAAAGTATAGCAGGACAATCAAGGGTCTCCTCTACTTGTAGGTTATGGCCTAGTATCCCATTAGTTCCTGAGAACATAACTATACAACATAGCAAAACATTTATGAGTTAATTCAAAATAGATAAGAGTATGTTTGCGCTCTATTTAGGAATATAGAATGCTTTTTAAGATCAATCTGTAATTCGTTATCTACAGGAATATTTTATTATTTTCAGGAATAAACTGTAGTTATCTAGAAAAATATATGTAAGTGGATTATACTTATGTGAATACTATATAAATATGTCCTGACTTGGTTAGTGGTGTATCAACTTTATGCTGTTCCACATAGTTAAATAGCCTCTATTAAATTATTTTCTTTTGGGTCTTAGAAGTCATGTATTTCTTCAGGCATAAATTCAACAGTCTTTTGAATTATCTCTTGAGTAGGTGACATCTGACTGGCACACAGTGGCAATCAGGGATTTCTCTGTCTGTAGCTCAATACATAGCAAGTCTCATTTAACACAGAAAAAAAAAATCTTGTTAATGTAACATTGATACTTTAAGTACTAAAATATGAGTTTATTTTACAGAAATTGCTTATAACAATGTTTTCCATGTAATATCTTATGTATTCCCTTATGTCATAATTAAATATGTTGGGCTCTTTCTTTGGACATTCTAACTAATGATATGATTCTGGTTTTGTATCACCTGTAAAAGCAAGTACAAAAGTAAGGTAAGGTAAAGAGAAATTAGGTGAAGGGATGCTATGGTTTTAGCACTGTTGTGACCAAATTAAAAATTAAAGGCCAGCTGATACATAATTTTCCTGACTGTAAGTTTCAACTGAGTTAACTTTAATTCTGTTTTGTTGTCTTGGATGATAATTTCTTCATGCTTCTTAGAGAATAAAGGTAGAATCAAGCAGATATTTTCTATACACCCAGATATATTATGCTTAAAAAATGAAGCAATTAATTTATCATGCTTGTTTTTTAAAAGGAGATAATTAGTAGATAAAACAATACTTTTGAAACCATAAAGTACAATAAAAGTGTTACTTATCTTCTATCATTTAATTTTTGTTTCCTAAGGCAGTGGATATAACTTCTTGTGGAAACTTTGCTGTGATTGGCCTTTCATCAGGAACTGTAGATGTGTATAACATGCAGTCTGGTATTCATCGAGGGAGTTTTGGGAAGAATCAAGGTATTGAATTTTTTTCCTTATTTAAAAAAAAATAGATACAAGACTAGTAACTGCTGCTGGCGTTTGTTAAATTCTTAAGTGCTGGGCATTTTGATAAGGTTGTAAATGGGGTATCGTCAACCCTATGTGGCAGATACTATCATTACACCTATTACAAACACCATGTTGAAATACTCAGAAAATGAAGTCCTGGATATATTAAGGGGAAGTGAGTATTACAAATTAAGATTTTTATTTTCCTTAAGCAGAAAATCTTAACTATTTTTTGAAACCTTTGTGACATCAAACTGATGGATTTTGTGTTTACTCAAGCAATGTAATAATCTTCTCCCTAATTCCTAAAATCAGATTAATTTTAAGATTTTAGGAGAGGTAAGCAGTGGAAACTTAGATATTTAAATGAAGGAATTACTCTGTGTAGTATAGAGAGGCAATGCAATTTTTTTGTCTTTTAACATGTGCTTGGAAGCTCATAAAGGATCTGTTAGAGGTGTTGCAGTGGATGGATTAAACCAGTTGACAATTACAACAGGAAGTGAAGGATTACTCAAGTTCTGGAACTTTAAAAACAAAATTTTAATCCATTCTGTGAAACTTGATTCATCTCCAAATATAATGCTGCTACATAGAGACAGGTAAAGTTTTCCCTTTAATAATAGTAAATATTCTTCTTGATATTTTTGGTAAAAGTCTCTAAGTAAGGTATGTAATTTACCAAGTGGAAAAATCAGATATTAATATAGAAGAAAAGCATTTTGCTTAAATTCCCCAAAGGTGTACTTGATTAACAAAACTTAAATGACTATGAGGTTTCAGTTCAAAACTGTTTCTTTATTGAAACTGGTGCATTTTTCTTGCTAGTGGTCTTCTGGGACTCGCCTTGGATGACTTCTCCATTAGTGTTCTGGACATAGAAACTAGGAAGATTGTCAGAGATTTTTCTGGACACCAAGGCCAAATAAATGACATGGTAAAACAAACTTTAGATGTTTAAACAGACTCATTTCTACCTCTGTTTATATTTAAAATGTGTAAATAATGGAAACTTACTATTTAGTAGCATTAAACTCATATGAGGTGTTCAAAATAAACAATTTGTAGACTAATTTTTGAATGAGATTTTCAGAAAATTTAGAATTAAGTTTAGTATTTTCCAGAGGGTTAATGCTATCAAGTTGAAGTATAAATCTCAGAGTTTATCTTTTAAATTATAAAGAAGGTGAAAGTAAGCTTTGGAGAATCATTGGTCCATTGAAACATATCATTTTTGTTTTTTTTTGTTTTTTTGTTTTTTCATTTTTTGGTATCATTAATCTACAATTACATGAGGAACATTATGCTTACTAGACTTCCCCCATCATCAAGTCGTCCACACATACCTCATTACAGTCACCGTCCATCAGCGTAGCATTACTTGTCTTCTCTCTGTTGTACAACCCTCCCCGTGCCCACCCCACCCCCACTAAATTATGTCTGCTAATAGTAATGCCCTATTTTCCCCCTTATGCCTCCCTTCCCATCCACCCTCCCCAGTCCCTTTCCCTTTGGTAACTGTTAGTCCATTCTTTGGTTCTGTGAGTCTGCTGCTGTTTTGCTCCTTCAGTTTTTTGCTTTGTTTTTATACTCCACAGATGAGTGAAATCATTTGGTACTTGTCTTTCTCTGCCTGGCTTATTTCATTGAACATAATACCCTCTAGCTTCATCCATGTTGTTGAAAATGGTAGGATTTATTTTCTTCTTATGGCTGAATAATATTCCATTGTGCATATGTACCACATCTTCTTTATCCATTCATCTACTGATGGACACTTAGGTTGCTTCCATATTTTGGCTATTGTAAATAGTGCTGTCATAAACATAGGAGTGCATATGTCTTTTTCAAACTGGGCTGCTGCATTCTTAGGGTAAATTCCTAGGAGTGGAATTCCTGGGTCAAATGGTATTTCTATTTGTAGTTTTTTTGAGGAACCTCCATACTGCTTTCCACAATGGTTGAACTAATTTACATTCCCACCAGCAGTGTAGGAGGGTTCCCCTTTCTCCACATCCTTGCCAACATTTGTTATTTGTCTTTTGGATGTTGGCCATCCTAACTGGTGTGAGGTGATATCTCATTGTGGTTTCAATTTTCATTTCTCTGATGATTAGCGATGTGGAGCATCTTTTCATGTGTCTGTTGGCCATCTGAATATCTTTGGAGAACTGTCTGTACAGCTCCTCTGACCATTTTTAATTGGATTATTTGCTTTTTGTTTGTTGAGGTGCATAAGCTCTTTATATATTTTGGATGTCAACCCTTTATTGGATCTGTCATTTATGAATATATTCTCCCATACTATAGGGTACCTCTTTGTTCTATTGATGGTGTCCTTTGCTATACAGAAGCTTTCAGCTTGATACAGTCCCACTTGTTCATTTTTGCTTTTGTTTACCTTGCCTGGGGAGATACATTCATGAAGAAGTCACTCATGTTTATGTCCATGAGGTTTTTGCCTATGTTTTTTTCTAAGAGTTTTATGGTTTCATGACTTACATTCAGGTCTTTGATCCATTTCGAACTTTCTTTTGTGTATAGGGTTAGACAGTGGTCCAGTTTCATTCTCTTGCATGTAGCTGTCCAGTTTTGCCAGCACCAGCTGTTGAAGAGGCTGTCATTTCCCCATTTATATCCGTATCTCCTTTGTTGTATATTAATTGACCATATATGCTTGGATTTATGTCTGGACTCTATTCTGTTCCACTGGTTCATGGGTCTGTTCTTGTGCCAGTACCAATTTGTCTTGATTACTGTGGCTTTGTAATAGAGCTTGAAGTCAGGGAGTGTAATTCCCCTTCTTTATTCTTCCTTCTCAGGATTGCTTTGGCTATTTGGCATCTTTTGTGTTTCCATATGAATTTTGAAACTATTTGCTCTAGTTTATTGAAGAATGCTGTTGGTATTTTGATAGGGATTGCACTGAACCTGTAGATTGATTTAGGCAGGATGGCCATTTTGACAGTATTAATTCTTCCTAGCCAAGAGCATGGGATGAATTTCCATTTACTAGTGTCCTCTTGAATTGCTCTTAAGAGTGTCCTGTAGTCTTCAGGGTATAGGTCTTTCACTTCCTTGGTTAGGTTTGTTCCTAGGTATTTTATTCTTTTTGATGCAATTGTGAATGGAACTTTTTTCCTGATTTTTCTTTCTGCTAGTTCATCGTTAGTGTATAGGAAAGCAACAGATTTCTGTGTATTAATTTAGTGTCCTGCAACTTTGCTGAATTCAGATATTAGATCTAGTAGTTTTAGAGTGGATTCTTTAGGTTTTTTTATGTACAATATCATGTCATCTGCAAACAGGGACAGTTTGACTTATTCCTTGCCATCTGGATGCCGTTTATTTCTTTGTGTTGTCTGATTGCCATGGCTAGGACCTCCAGACTATGTTAAATAAAAGTGGGGAGAGTGGGCATCCCTGTCTTGTTCCTGATCTTAGAGGAAAAGCTTTCAGCTTCTTGCTGTTAACTATAATGTTGGCTGTGGGTTTGTCATATATGGCCTTTGTTATGTTGATGTATTTCCCCTCTATACCCGTTTTGTTGACAGTTTTTATCATGAATGAATGTTGAATTTTGTCAATTCAACTATTGTCCCCTTTTTCAGCATCTCTGAAGATGATAATGTGGGTTTTGTCCTTCTTTTTGTTGATGTAGTGGATGATGTTGATAGATTTTCGAATGTTGTACCATCCTTGCATCGCTGGGATGAATCCCACTTGATCATGATGGATGACCTTTTTGGTGTATTTTTTAATTCAGTTTGCTAATATTTTATTGAGTATTTTTGCATCTGTGTTCATCAGGGGTAGTGATCTGTAATTTTCTTTTTTTGTGGTGTCTTTGCCTGGTTTGGTATTAGCATGATGTTGGCCTTGTATAATGAGTTTGGGAGTATTCCCTCCTCTTCTAGTTTTTGGAAAACTTTAAGGAGGATGGGTATTAGGTCTTCACTAAATGTTTGATAAAATTCAGCAGTGAAATCATCTGGTCCAGGAGTTTTGTTTTTAGGTAGTTTTTTGATTACTAATTCAATTTCTTTGCTGGTAATTGATCCATTCAGATTTTCTGGTTTTCCTGGGTCGGCCTTAGAAGGTTGTATTTTTCTAGAAAGTTGTCCATTTCTTCTAGGTTATCCAGTTTGTTACCATATAATTTTTCATAGTATTCTCTCATAATTCTTTGTAGTTCTGTGGTGTCCATAGTGATTTTTCCTTTCTCATTTCTGATTCTGTTTATGTGTGTAAACTCTCTTTTTTTCTTGATAAGTCTGGCTAGGGGTTTATCAATTTTGTTTATTTTCTTGAAGAACCCGCTCCTGCTTTTATTGATTCTATTGTTTTATTCTTCTCAATTTTATTTATTTCTGCTATAGTCTTTATAATGTCTTTCCTTCTATGACTTTGGGCCTCATTTGTTTCTCCTTTTTGAGTTTCATTAATTGTTAGTTTAGACTGTTCATTTGGGGTTGTTCTTTCCTGAGGTAGGCTTGTATTGTGATATATTTCCCTCTGCACGGCCTTGGCTGTGTCCCACAGATTTTGTGTTGTTGAATTACTGTTCTCATTTGCCTCCATATATTGCTTGATCTCTGTTTTTATTTGGTCATTGATCTTTTGATTATTGAGGAGCATGTTATTAAGCCTCCAAGTATTTGTGGGCTTTTTCGTTTTCTTTGTGTAATTTTTTTCTAGTTTCATACCTTTGTGATCTGAGAAGCTGGTTGATACAATTTCAATATTTTTGAATTTATTGAGGTTCTTTTTGTGGCCTGTTGTATGATCTATTCTTGAAAATGTTCCATTTGCACTTGAGAAGAATGTGTATTCTGTTGCATTTGGATGGAGCATTCTGTAGATGTCCATTAGGTCCATCTGTTGTAATGTGTTGTTCAGTGCCTCTGCCACTTTACTTATTTTCTATCTGGTTGATCTGTCCTTTGCAGTGAGTGGTGTGTTGAAGTCTCCTAAAATGAATGCATTGCATTCTATTTCCCCCTTTAATTCTGTTAGTATTTGTTTCACATATGTAGGTGATCCTGTGTTGGGTGCATAGATATTTATAATAGTTATATCCTCTTGTTGGACTGACCCCTTTATCGTTATGTAATGCCCTTCTTTGTCTCTTTTTACTTTCTTTGTTTTGAAGTCTGTTTTGTGTGATACAAGTACTGCAACTCTTGCTTTCTTCTCCCTGTTACTTGCATGAAATATCTTTTTCCATCCCTTTACTTTCAGTCTGTGTATGTCTTTGGATTTGAAGTGAGTCTCTTGTAGGCAGCATATAGACAGGTGTTGCTTTTTTATCCATTCAGTGACTCTATGTCTTTTGATTGGTGCATTCAAACTATTTACATTTAGGGTGATTATCGATAGCTATGTAATTATTGCCATTGCAGGCTTTAGATTCGTGGTTACCAAAGGTTCAAGGGTAATTCCTTTACTATCTAACAGTCTAATTTAACTCACTTTGTGTGCTATTACAAACACAACCTAAAGTTTTTGGTTTTTTTCCTCCCTTTTCTTCCTCCTCCATTCTTTGTATGTTATGAATCATATTCTGTACTGTTTGCCTATCCCTTTGGTGACATCTGTTTAGCCTTAGGAATACTTCCATCTGTAGGAGTCCCGCCAAAATGCACTGTAAAGGTGGTTTGTGGGAGGTAAATTCTCTCGTTTTTCTTATCTGAAAATTGTTTTCTTATCTGAAAAATTCCCCCTTCAAATTTAAATGATTATCTTGGCAGGTATAGTATTCTTGGTTCAAGGCCCTTCTGCTTCATTACCTTAAATAAATCATGCCACTCCCTTCTGGCCTGTAAGGTTTCTGTTGAGAAGTCTGATGCTAGCCTGTTGGGTTTTCCTTTGTAGGTGATCTTTTTTCTCTCTCTAGCTACTTTTAAAAGTTTGTCTTTATCCTTGATCTTTGCCATTTTAATTATTATATGTCTTGATGTTGTCTTCCTTGGGTCCCTTGTCTTGGGAGATCTGTGCACCTCCATGGTTTGAGAGACTATCTCCTTCCCCAGATAGGGGAAGTTTTCAGCAATTACCTCCTCAATGACACTTTCTATCTCTTTTTCTCTCTCTTCTTCTGGTACCCCTAGAATACAAATATTGTTCTGTTTGGATTGGTCACACAGTTCTCTCATTATTCTTTCATTCTTAGAGATTCTTACTTCTCTCTGTGCCTCAACTTCTTTGTATTCCTCTTCTCTCATTTCTATTCCATTTACAGCCTTCTACATCTTATCTGCTTTTAAATTCCTCCATTGTATGTTTGTTTCAGATATGGAATTTCCTAATGATTGAATCTCCGATTTAAATTCGTTCCTGAGCTCTTGAATATTTTTCTGTACCTCCATAAGCATGTTCATGATTTTTATTTTGAACTCTCTTTCAGGCAGATTGGTGAGTTCAGTTTCATTTGACCCTTTTTCTGGGGTTTGTGAGATTTTGGTCTGGACCAGGTTCTTTTGATGTTTCATACTTCTGTGTGGTACCTACTAGTGCCCAGAAGCTCCAGTCTCTGGAGCTGCTCAGCCTCTAGGGTGAGGTTGGGGGTCATAAGGGAGCGGAGCTGGTGCCTAGGGGGAGGAAAGATCTGCTTCCTGCTTTCCATCTGCGGTGCCTGTCTCCGGGGTCAGAGCCAGTGGGCCAAGCACACAGGTGTAAGCATCTGTGCTGTGGGTCTATACCTGCTGTAGGCTGAGCCTCCTTCTGGCTGGCCTGACTCCAGCGCAGTGATTGCTGGTTTGTGAACCGATGCCGGCAGGCTAGGAGGAAGGCACAGCAGGCTGTGTGTCACTGTGGGGGGCCTCGGAGCTGAGTAGGCAGTCAGGGGGATAGGGTGCCTGAAGCTCTCAGAAGTTCCCAACTTGCTTGGCCTAGCACACCCTGGCAACCTCGTCCAGCTCTCCCTCCCCCCACGCAGCAATCTCCATCCAAACTCTGCCCCTTCAGCAGCCCTCTTGCTGCTAGGAAGCCTCTCAGACCACCTGCCTTTCCCTTTTCCCAGAATGGCCAGCTGTGGATCCCCTTCTCCATAAACGACCGGGATCTCAGTCTCTCAAGCACTCCACCTGTCCGAGCTCCCCAACGTTCAGAGCACCACACAGTGTAGGTTTCCGCTCCCAAAGCGGATCTCCAGGCTAGCTGTTCAGTAGTTCCAGGCTTCCACCCCCTCCCGGCTCCGTTTCTCTTCCTGCCACGGGTGAGCTGGGGTGGGGGAAGGGCTTGGGTCCCGCCGGAACACGGCTTTTTGTACATTACCCTGATTCCTGAGGTCTGCTCTGTTCCTGAGGTTTGTATGCAGTCTGGTTCAGTCTTTCTTGTTGCTGTTTTAGGGCTAGTTGTATCAATTAACTATATTTTTGTACCATTTGTAGTTTTGGGAGTTCTACATCTCACCTCTCACAGCGCCATCTTGAATCCTCAGTATATCATTTTTAACTTAATATTAACTAGTCTGAGAAAACAGTTCTGGTTTTTTACATTCATTACAAATTAAATAGTAGAAGACCTGGAATATCTAGTACCTGATTATTCTAGTTTAGTGTTATTTCTAGAGTTTAATATCTTAATTCCAAAATAATTAAATTAATAAAAAATGTGCTTTAGCTTACTCTTAGTTTTCTATAGTGGGATATATGATACAGTAAGATATACTCTCATTTTTAAAAAGTGTGTGTTGAGGACTGTATTAAGTATATATTGTCATTTGGTATCAATTACAGATATATTGATTTACTTGAAAAACAGAAAAATAAAAATAAAATCCTAGCTATTTAGTGGCAATCCCAAATATTTACATCAATTCTCACACCAAAAATCAGAAATGCAGTGTTTACCTGCATCCTTAAAGACAGGGGAGAAAAAGTGGTCAGAAAATTGTGTTGTTCTGGGGATAGGAGATTAGCAGAACTATGCATCAACACAATTTTTTGTTGTGACAATATCTATAGAGATGGTGGGAGTGGAATAATTTTGATGAAATTGCATTTTTTAAAACATCTGTCAGTGCCAATTTGCTCTTCCCTTTTTTTAATTTTTAAACTATAATTTCAGTTTGTGTGTCTGGAGTAACTCAGTAATAAATTAATCCTCTGCCATTAAATCAATGAACATACATAACACAACTTTACCTATCAGAGTCATTTTTCCCATTACTTCTTCCTGCGCTGTCCTGTAAATTGAGGTCTCTGTACCTTGGAGTTTGAGTTTCCACAGTATCACTGCAGCCTAATAAATGAATTAGAGTTCACATTTCCCAATATAATTTGCTAATATGTGGTCATAATCCCTATGGTGTATTTAGACTCCTAGGTGAACAATCTACTACCATTGTAAACCTGAAAGTTTTTCATTCTGTTTGGGTTTTTCACATCTGACCTGACTTAACCCTCAGAGCACTTATGTGCTGCAGGCAACGAGAGCTTTTATTTAGCCATTTTTAATGGTAGAAAAGGTAGGACTTCTTTGAGGTGGCATAAGTAGTTTATTCTTTAAATTTATTTTGAAAGACTGATTATTTTGGTTTTATATTATATTTTGGAAATAAAACATTAAGGATAAAGAGGAGATTTTTAACTGGAGTTAAAACTAGGACTTCTTTAGTAACCAGTATTTTAAGAGAATTTACATTCTTGTCTTCAAAAGCATTTTGGATTAATTCTGAGAAGCCAGTGTTGATATATAGACTCTTTTTAAGGAAATACAGCTTTTATTGCTGTCACAGGTACTTTATAATTGAAATGAGTGGCAAAATATTTCTAATTGGATGTTCTCTGAACAGCAGTTATATGTTAAAAACAGTGTGTAGTAAAACTCAGTTTCCTAATTATCTATAAATATATGCAATTATGGAGTAAAAATGGAAAATTAGGTTATACTTCTTATAAATCATGTAAAAGCCTAACTCTTACCTATGTCCAAATCAGTGGAATACAATAAATGGTATTTTCTTTTACATAACGTAAGATCGGTAGTCCAAATTTTATTCAAACTTATTTTTTTCATGAAGTCTGCATAGTTTTAATTCTTGTATTTTTTAAAAGCTGTTAAGTATGCAGACACAAACAGACATACATAAATACACATACATATCATATATGCTTTTTTTTTCTTTAATTTAAAGACTTTCAGTCCTGATGGTCGTTGGTTAATAAGTGCTTCAATGGATTGCTCTATTAGAACTTGGGACCTTCCGTCTGGGTGGTGAGTTTATTTTTAAATCCCTAAACTCCATCAGATTTCTCAGCCATTGTCTTTACATGTGACTTTTACCGATACTTCATGGATTATATGCTGTTTGAATGTGAATGTATTGTGGTATTTTTCCAACCTGGCTGTATTTTATCCTTGGAGTGTGTTCTATCTCTTCAGTTGTAGGGAACAGTGCTGTACACAGTAACAGGAAAATGCCATCTGTCTTAGATTTTCTGTTCCTGCAAAATTGAGATATAGAAGTGAATTCCATTAACTTTAAGAAAGTTCATTTGGCCTTTTTGATCCAAAATAGATCTCAGAACTTCGTGCTTCAAACTTGTATTGTTAGTGTGTTTTGTTGTTACTCATACTGAATGTAGCATAAAGGTCAAGAATCCTAATTTTCTTTTGTGTTCATTGTATATTTTCTTTCTATAACATAATTCTTGAAAGAAGACATTATAGAGACTGTAAAGTAATGAAAATTTGTGCTTAAGATTTGGGTAAAGCCCAGCTCTGTTTAGAAATATGCTTTATGAATTGAAACTTGCTACTAAAATAACACAGGAAGAAGAAAATATTATCTAATTCTATTAAATATTTGAACAGTGCAGACCTACAGGGAGCAAGAAAGAAAGAATAAGCATGTGTGTGTGTGTGTGCGTGCGCACTTTCTTAGAAATTATGTAGGAATAGATACAATTTAAAGTCTATCATTCAACATAGAATTGCTTAGCTTAATTATGAAAAAAAGAGGAGTAATGGGGCCAGCAGAATGTCTAATTTAACAAGAACAACAAGGAAATAGATAGATGAGAAAAATAAGAAGGAAGATGGTACTTCTTAATTCTCTGAATTATTCCTAAATTCAGCTCTGTTCAATTCTACTTCCTCTTCTTTCCCAGGAACTGAATAAGCTCATACCTGTAAACAATTTGACCTTTAAAAGGAGAATGTACTCATTTCCTTTCAAGTTTGTTATAGAAATGAGGCACAGCTGTCTAGCATGTATACTAGATTTGGAATGTGCACAGCAAAACAGTATCAGTAATGCATCCAGTTTTAATAACTAGGGACTTTTGACCACAGGTATATCCCTTTTTCACTTAAAATAGAGTAAAGCAAAAAATTTCATTGGCTCTGGCCCTTCTAAAAGTTCACCTAAACTTGATATTTCCTTAATTTTTAGAAAAGTTTTTTTTTTAAAGCATCATTAGAAATATTGGTTGCCTGTTGATTCTTGGACTTCTGCTATATTCTAAAAATGAACATTATAATTTGAATTGCTTTGCAGTAGGAAAATTATACAAGTAACAGAGTTGACATAATGTGGTCTTTATTTTACTTTTCAGTAGTTTTAGTTCACATTAGATGGGGGAGATAGGTAGTGCTTTTATGTGCAAAATATTTTTTAAAAGTGGTAGGGTTATCTTTGGAACAGAAAAATTAGGATCCATAAGTAGTATTCAAAGCCACTAATCTTTGACTTAGCATTAGCCTTTTTGCTGAATTTCTTATTTCAGTGAAAAGAACAGATTTAAATTGATAGGTTTTCAACTCTGATATTTTATTTTTAGGTGAACACTGAGGGAGTTTTAAGTGAATACAGAGACATGAAGCTGGGAGAAACACCAGAGCAAGAAATGATTGTTAAAATATGGGTTGTTAATGTATAGTACACTGATAGGACCAAAATGTATTTTTAATAAAGAACAAAAGAAATACCTCTTCAGCTAGGATTTGAATTGGAGCCAGTGAGAAAGCATGAAGAGCAGTATCACACAGCTGCTGCTGCCTGATTGCAGCTAAGCTAATATTTACCATGAGGTTTATGTGCTTTTATTTTTCATCTTCTCTCATATCCTAATAGGGTTAGGTAGGTATTGTTACTCATATTATTCCCATTTTACAAATGAGGAAATGGAGGCTCAGAGGAAGTTAAGTGATTTGTCCAAGGCAGCATAGTTTGTAAATAACATTTTGTTATAATAAACATAGGAGGAAACAGATTTCCCAACAGTTGTGATATCAGCCTTGTTCAGGTTGTGGCATATCTTCTAAGGATTAATTGATTTTCTTGATATAGAAGATAAAGGGGAAGAGTGAGGATCAGTATTCATCATAAAACCATAGGTAACTGTTGGATGTTTTGAGTCCCCCTCTTTTTCTAAACAGTATGTCAACCTTTGGAGATTCTCCTAGTTCTTTCTTCAGTAAGCAATTTCATCATGTATATCACATGCTAAATGTTTAGGGGCTGAATATACTTATTACATAGCCTGGAAAGTGAAGCAAGCTATGAGTAAACCTTTGGGTATGGCAACATACAGTGTAATCCATCTGGACTTGTGCCTATCTAAAACAAAATGCATAGGAACTGGACTGTTTCCTGTAAAGTTTTCTTTTAGTACTGAAAATTTTCTTCTACAATTCTCAGAGAGGCAGAGTTGAAATTTTTATCTCTGAAATTATCTGTCATCTCCTACCACCACCACCTTTTATTTGTGGTTGTTTTTAATCTATTAGAAATTCAGGTTAATCTCTTTTTGGGGGGTTGAGAAAATATAAAATCAAATAGTCTTAATAGACTTGCATTTTTTTTGTCTCACCCTGTGACCTCTGCTTTCTGAAGTGCACTACACAACAGTAATTGGAATAGAACATTGTTTTGCATTTCTCACTAGGTCAAACCATCCCTTTGTTTCAGTCTTTAAAATTCCTGTGTAAGGTGATTCCATCACTTTGAAGACTGAATATCTAGACACACACTGCGTTTGTGCCAAATATAGTTAGAAATGATTTACTGTTAGCTGCATATGCAGGGCTCTGCTTGAATTATCGGATCCCTTGGAATGGGGATTTTATTAATGTTCTATCAAAAAAGTTATAATTTACCTGGGACTTTTCATTTTAAGAGATAAGCAGGAGACTATATGGTGGTTAGGCCTGGAATTAAGCCTGCATACTTAAGCCTGGTGGACAAATGTGGCCATATAAAATATGCTGTGTATGTGGAAACTCCCTTCCTCAATTTGAAGCTTTTACATGATGGAAGGCAGGCTACCCACACACAACAGCTGTGGAGATGAAGTTGCACAATGAATTTGATAAGTAATTATAGTATCAAAATAAGTTTGCTCAAACAACAGATTATTTTTAACAGATTCTAAACGTGTCAGAAAGCTTCACCCCTCATGTACACTGTTAATGTATAAATACTAACAAGGTGAAGAACTGGTTAAGACCTGAAACTGCTGTATTTAGATTTAATCTTCATCTGTATAAGGATTCTGCTCTGGGTTGTTTGGATTAAGTAAATTAGCATACATAATTTAATAATCTCTGGTATATGTTAAGTGTTTAGCAAATGTTTCCTTTTCCCCAGTTCCCTTGATCCCCAAGAGAAGCCAGTCTTGTGAGGTTTGAGAATAGGTTTGAACAGCAAACCTATAATCAGGTTATTACCCACCTTTTTCCCCTGTAACTGAGAATTAAACAGCAGTTATTGTCCTGAGCACACTTTGGTGTGTATCTGTTTCCAGTGCTCCAAATTTCAGCTGTGTCTTCCTATCTTGCATTCATTATTTAAGATTTAAATTGTTAATTGCTCTCTGAAAAAAATGAGAGAGATTTTATCATGGACAAGTCACTCTCCACTAGAAAGTCTTCATTTACATTTGAGCTGCTCAGAGTGTTCCATGAAACATCAGTGTAGCATCCCCTGGGGATGTATATGCTACTGAGCTGTTTGTTGAACCTTTAGTTTTGGTGGTGGTTGTACTGAGTTTATAATGATGAAGAGTGCAGACTGCTTGGGTGACAATCCTGGCTAAGTTTTGAGCAAGTTTTAAAAGCTTAGTGGGCCTTGTTTTTCTTATCTATTCTAGAAAGGATGGCTTTGCCTTAGAGTGTTAGGAAGATTACATTAGTTGGGTCAAGTGCTCAGGATACTTCCTGGCATGGAACATTAAGAAAAATTGTTAACTGCTGTTATTTTTTCTTGAAATAATTTTTTATTTAATGTAGATTCTGAACTTCAGTCATTTTACTGTGTTTTCTCATGGATAATACATTGGCTTCAGTAAAATAAAGTAGTTTTTGAAACAACTCTGATTAAAACCAGTATACTCTTATAAGTACACAAAGCCTTCACACTCTTAGCCAGCCTAAGAAGCCTCCTTACTTATTGTACACCAATGTGTTAGGCCTTTTGCTATGGTCCTTAAATCCACTTAATTTCACCACCTGCTGCTACCACCCCAGTTGAGATCTTCACTGCCTGTTAGATCTGCTATAATCTTACTACACTTCCTTTTCACATATATTCTACATTCTAATGGCAGATTTACTTATGAAAGTGATGATGACACCACTATCTGCTCAAAAGTTTTAGTGATTTTCCACTGATTAAAGATAAAAACAAACTCATGTTTGGTGTTTAGACACTGGTGTATAGCCTTATGCTTATGCACCAAATGGCACTTCTCACTAGATCCAATTACATTTTCCCTCCCCTTGCTCTCTATATTTTCTTCAGCCAGGAAATTCTTTTCTCTGCCATCAGCATCTTTACAATGTCCATTGGTAAGGCTTATCTCAACTGCTTTGTTTTCTAGAAGCCTATTCTGAATTCCCCTCCTGGTGTGAATTTTCATGTTTCATGTGTAGTATGGTTACCTATTTGACAAACTGGTAGGATTGCTCAAGGCTTTTTCCATTACCATTCTCTTATTATTTATACCCATTTAATTTCATTGCTTTATTTTGTTTCCTAAGCCTTTCATTATTTTCACTGGAATAACAAAAATATGGGAGAGTACTGATAATTAGATTAATTGTGTGGCACCTTCAGAATTGTCACCAAGTCAGTCTATCATTATGATAGACTGAGCATTTCATCCTGCAGTCTTATTGCTCAAAGTCTTTCCAGTCTATTTAGTGTTCTGGGTCTTTCTCATTGAGAGAGAGTGTTTTAAATAGCAACTTGGATGACAAAGCTCTTTGTTAGTGATGACTGTCTGGTGTTAGTGATTTAAAAAAAATTGCATCTCTTTTCCTTTTTCTTTGAGCAAAAATGTGTTTCGTGAATTATGTTCTTTTTGGTAGAGTTCAAGTACTTTGACTTCTTAATTCTTTTTATAGCCTCATAGACAGCTTTTTGTTGGACTCGGCTCCCCTCAATGTTGTTATGTCCCCTACTGGAGATTTTCTGGCCACTTCCCATGTGGACCACCTTGGAATTTATCTATGGTAAGTGCTTTCATATAGTTCTGTTAAGGGTGGGAGGGAGATGGGAGATGATATTGTTAGATAATCATAATTGCTATCACTGCTATTTTGCTATTTAGGTTTTTTTTTAAATTTATAAAATGGCAATGTTGCATAGTTAACATTAACACGGAGTCAACTCATTGTAAGTATGTGACTGAGCATATGCTTGCTTATTTAGATAGGTTTGGTCAAATATGTATTCTAAATCACTTTCTGCTTTTTCCTGCAGAAAGCAAAAGTTTAAAACTGTTGAAAAAGAGTATCCAGCCAGGCCCTGGCTTTCCTGCCACTACCCCAATATAGCTTTATGACCTTAACCAGGCATTTCTCAACTGCAGCATACCTTATTATAAAGTAAGGCATAGGTGTGGGCAGAATGCTTTTTAAATTTCATGTTAGTTGCATGACTCTTCATAACCATGTAAAGATATTTATAGTGATCTTCCATCTCCTCTGTGATTAACTTGTAATTGTTCAAAAACATCTGAGTCTAGAAAAATTTTTGTCTGTTTCCTGAGTTCAGATATCTAATTCTTTTAATTCTTAGTATTGAAGAGGAGATTATAATAATTCCTCTTCTAATTATAGAATGTTATAATAATATTTTTAGAATATTAAATTCAATAACATACTAGAAATAAACTCTAGCATCCTTAATAAACAAAATGGAGTATCTCCTGGAATCTATGAGGCTTAAACAATTAAGAAAAGAATACTATGAGACCACAGCAGCAGTAGTATATAGTACTAGGAATATATTAATAACTCAGAACCTGATATTCCCAATTTGTAGTTTTGATTACAGATTCATAATGTGTGGGGAAGAGAATCTGAGTAGCCCACTTTGTGACAGATACCTACATTAGTCATTTAAGGCCATGTTTGCAGGGTCCAGTAGCAGAAATATGGCCACTAGAGGACCATTCTAGAGAAGGGTCAAGATCCATGACTGTTAACCAACCATGAGGATCTGACCAGCATATTCTTTCTCTGAGTTAACTCTCTGAATCTGTCCTTCCCTTAGTGAAGGCTGACATTTGTCAAAACAATGTAAATATATGAAGGTTATGTTACGTTATGAAAGTATTATGCATTGCTGATCTCAAGTATTCATTTGTACTACATTAAAAACAAAGACTCCATTAGTAATGTTTATGCAGAAGTTTCTTGTGCATGAATCAAGACATTTTCGAATTAATATTATCTTTTAGATATTTTTTAACTTATAAGGGATTGGAATCTAGCAAAGTTTAAGACTATAGAGATTACCAGTAATTGAAGTCTTTCTGAAGAAACTCTTTTTTATGTTTTACAATATTGCTTATGCTTTTATTTCTCAGGTCCAATATTTCTCTCTATTCTGTTGTTTCATTACGGCCACTTCCCACAGATTATGTTCCTTCGGTAGTGATGCTCCCTGGTATTTGTCAAACCCAAGGTAATCACAAAATAGTAAAATAATTTTTGAAGTGTAATATTAAACCTAACATGGGGGATTTCGCTCCTGAAGGCAAAATTTAATGCATTCAGGCAAAGTGTTTCTTGACTGATAAGTATTTTGAATGACTTGATAATTTATGCAGAAAATAGATTTGATATGGTATTGATAAGATATTAAATAGCATACCAGTGGAGAAATGCTCTGGGTATGGTGATGGGAGTTGGAGTCAATATGAGAAGATAACATGATATAAGTATAACGAGTTTTATAAGGCTGTATGGAATGAGCATGTTATGAAATACTAATGGATTTGGCATGAATTAGGTTAGTTTTAGATGATAAAAACCCTATTCTCCATTAATTTGTTTCACCTGAAAATTTTTTGTTTTAAGATATGGAATTACCAGAAGAAACTGTAGAACCAAGTGATGAAATGATTGAGTATGATTCTCCAGAACAGCTGAATGAGCAACTGGTGACTCTGTCACTCCTCCCTGAATCACGCTGGAAAAACCTTCTCAATCTTGATGTTATTAAGGTAGTACTATAGTATACTTAATTGTGGTCCCTAAAAACACATTCCAGAAGCATTTTCTTTAGTAGAGATAGCTTCCCCTACTTTGGGGCTTTAGGGGGAGCAGTTAATGCCTAAAGTAGTAAAGAGAACACCATTTAGTTGAATGCTCTATTCACTGTGATTATTATAAGATTCTCTCTCTATATTTACTGAGAGCACCAGGCAGACCTTTGGATCTAGCAAAAGTGCATCCTGCAATTACACAGCTATTACAAGTTGGATGTTTTCAATCCAGCCTGATGAACTACTTCTTTAACTTTTTAAAACAATCAGAAACATGTGCTGCCATAATGTGCAGTAGTTCTGTTGCTAGATATCTGGGAACTAGAAGACTTTCAATGGTCTTTTTATGTTTTTTTATTAAACTTCAGTTACCCTTTGTCATCCCATACCCTACTTTGTCAACTACAAGATTTTTAGAGCTTGCTGGGTTGGGTCCAGGCACATGAATTAATATGAACTAGGTAGTAGGTAGTGTCCCAAGTCAATAGCAGTGAAAAAAACCTAGCCCCTTGACCTTGTGAAATGTACAATTTTACATAAAAAGTGGACAATGAAGGCATAAATTGGTGTTTTTCAAAGCCTGTTTCATGACCTTCATTTGTAAGTAGCAAAATAACAAAGGACTAGAGTAGAAGATTTCAGAAGCTATCCTCTGATGATAAGGGTCAGTATTTGATGACTTGAGTTGGTTAAATGTGTACATACACATGTCACTAGGGGTGTGTACACTAAGTCACATGAAAAAGAATGTACGGAGCACTGACATAGATAACTATGACAAGATGGGATCAGTATTTTTGTAACTAATTAGCACCAGAAAAGATATGTGTGTGTTGGGTAAGAAGTTTTCACGTGTTATTTTTCCTTAAAGAAGTGAAAAGTGCTTCTTTTGCTCACTTTCTGAGAGATTGGGCATCAGCATAAAGGTATGTTGTCTAGGAGCATAATTGTGAAATCTCTCCATTGTGTTGTCCGGTGTGTCAGCTGTGAAAGGTGTACTTTATGGGATAGCTTTAAAAGCCATGCATTAAAAGTGCCGGTAAGTAGATTGAGTATAAGGGGAGCAGTTGCAATAATGCCCAGTTAATTGGGCCAAGTTTGTAGGCTCTTTGCTAAGATACAGTCTCTTCTGAATGCAAACTTGCATAGAAACCTGAGTGAGTGATCTGTGTGAGAGAAATATACTAACACCTCTACTAATTTTATTTCTTAATAAAACAAGTTAGAATTTTTTATATTTGTCCTGTGGGTAACTTTTCTCCTTTTGGTTTTCCTTATGAGACTAGATATTTAATTTCCAGAACCCAATGAAACTCCCCCAAAGCCTTTTGTTTTTATGTACAACTCAGTGACAGTCCGCCTTCTCACTCAGCAACAGTGAGTTAGAAGGGAACTGTGACTTACGACAGTCTCTTCCATCCCAGAGAAGGGCGTTGCTTACCCTACAACTGGCACTACTTTGTCCTGCTTTCCTGTGGTAATTTTCTTCTATGCTGTAGGAACCCATAAGCACTCCTGGCTGTCTTTCAAGAAATGAATCTCCCTAGGGTTGCTGGCTTCCAAAAAATGAAGAGGAATAGTGTAAGGCAAAATTGTGAAGCTCTTTTGTTGGGCAGCTTACATAGAAAGGCTCTATTGTCAGATGCTCCTGAGGTAATGACATGTAGCAGTGTGGCCATGAACACTGAATTCTGTCTGTGGGAATTCTGATCAAATTTTATTCACACTTGAAATATTTTACAAGCAATAGTGTTCTCTTGCTTTTTAAAAATACGAAGTATTAAGGATAAATAAATAAAAATTACAAAGAAAGAGAAGAATTAGGGCCATGCTTTACAAAAAATTTTCACCAAATTACTTGTAATGGTAGTCACCTCTGGTTCCTCTGGCCCAAAGGAATCTACCTCTGACTCACAAAAATTTGAGAAACTGTTGAGCATTTCATGTAAATTTTGCCTTCTGTCTCATTTTGTGAGAAAGGTTTTATTTCAGTATTTAAAAAGGAAGTTCAAAATTACTTGATTATTATTTCTTCACCTAAATATTCACTTTTCAGGAAAATGAGCTCTATTTGTCTTAGAGCTTCTCATGAACCCTGTCATTTCCCTTCTACCTTACCAGCACTGGTACTGGAGATTTGCACTGGGAAGCCTACTTGAAGGATGTCTGTGATATTGATTGGTTGGAATTCTATTTTAGTATCCTAATTTGAAAAAGTTTCATTCCTTTTTTTACTTTTTGGACTTTGTTTTAAAATTGATTTGGAATTAAATGTTAGCAACTGTTGTCAAGGTAATTAGTAATCTTTTTCCCTTTCTTATTTTCTTTTAATTAGAGAAAGAATAAACCAAAGGAACCACCCAAAGTACCCAAGTCAGCACCATTTTTCATTCCAACAATTCCTGGCCTTGTACCCAGATATGCTGCACCTGAACAAAATAATGATCCCCAACAGGTAAAAGCCAAACTGGAGCATTCTAAGTATGTGAGGTGTTAATTTTGTGTTGTAATCTTGTAGTTTTTTACCAAGACCCAGTTTTTTTTTTTTATCTTTTTTTCTTTTTTTTTCTTAAGATACTATTGATATACATTCTTATGAAGGTATCATATGAAAAAACTATGTGGTTTCTACATTCATCCATGCTATCAAGTCCCCCCAACACACCCCATTGCAGTCACTGTCCATCAGTGTAGTAAGATGCTACAGAGTCACTTCTTGTCTTCTGTGAGCTACACTGTCTTCCCCATGATCCCCCCTACACCGTGTGTGCCAATCATAATACCCCTCAATCCCCTTCTCCCTCCCTCCCCAGCCACCCTCCCATATCCCTCTCCTTTGTTAACCGTTAGTTCCTTCTTGGAGTCTGTGAATCTGCTGCTGTTTTGGTCCTTCAGTTTTGCTTCACTGTTGTACTTCACAAATGAGGGAAATCATTTGGAACATGCCAAGACCCAGTTTTATAGATAGAGAGTAAATGAATGATAGCTTTTAATTATAAATATAAACTTTGTTTGTTACACTTGTGTTCTTTGAATAATTTGCATTTTTTTTAAGTCTAAAGTGGTAAATCTTGGAATTTTGGCTCAAAAATCAGATTTCTGCTTGAAACTTGAAGAAGGTCTGGTAAATAATAAATGTAAGTTAAACTATAAAGTATTAAGTATCTTCAGTTTGTTGTACATTATATGAGAATAAATTAAATGAAATATTAATAGCCTTTTTAGTAACTGAAAGGAGTATAAACTAAAAGGATTAAATTCTAGTTTTAATCTAATTTCAGCTTTTGTGTTATATTTAATGAGTGGCACTGAATTCAGATGATACTGATATGATATAAGGAATATAATAATCTTTTGAGAACCTTTTATACTTTATGGAAAATTATATTTTTCTTCTATTTTTTGCTTTTTTTATTTACAAAAAGGTTTTCAATACAGTTTGCAGTCCAGTAGGGACTTTTGTCTTAGGTTATTTCAGATAATTCCCAAATTATCCCATAAAAAGGCAGTTTTAAAATTTATTAACACGTTTAAATTTTGAAAGCTACAGTTGTTACCCAATCATGATAAACAAAGCTGTAGGCAGTAATAACAAAACCACAGTCACTCTGCTGTTTGACTTACCCTCTTGTTCTCTGATGCAATTGCTTTTGTTTTTATACTATTATCACTCAAACTTACATTGGCAAAAGTCAAAAAATGGTACTGATGGGCCATGGCAGATGACTAAAGAGCAGCAGGGTCACAAAGTGGGAGTAACTTGTTAGGTTTATGTGGGGAGTAAGAAGAAAACCTTGCTCTTAGTATATACTGAAAGGACAAATATAAAATTCAATGTAATGTCAAATGCCTCATATAAAAATAGTCCTAAGTGCATAGGATATATATTTGTAGGGTGCATATAAAATAAGAGTGCTTATTTCCAGGGAAAATAAGTAGATTTGGGATGGGTAAGAAATAGGTGGGGTCTTTCCCTCTTACTATCAGTTTAAATATATATTGCTTGGGGTATGAAATAGAAACAGTAATTTCCTAAGTGAAGTGGTTCTAAGTAATAACTGGATTTCTTTTGAACTTAACTTCAGATGAAGCCGCTCTTAACCGTCTGAAAGAATTAGGGCCATCAGGAATTGAAACAGAGCTGCGAAGCTTGTCTCCAGATTGTGGTGGGTCTGTAGAAGTTATGCAGAGCTTCTTAAAAATGATCGGGATGATGTTGGACAGAAAGCAAGATTTTGAGTTAGCCCAGGCATACCTTGCATTGTTTCTAAAGGTAAGTCTAATGGAAAACCACACCCCTAGCTTGCCTTCCTCTAGAGCAGTGCTGTCTGCTACCCGTACCTGTACTGCCCAAGGAGGCAGTCACTTGGCATAGGTAGCCACTGAGCACTTGAGATGTGGCTAATGTGACTGAGAAATGGAGTTTTTTAATTTATGCAAATTTTATTAATTTATATTGAAATACCTTGCTTAGTGACTCCCATATTGGACAGCTGGACAGGTCAGCATTGTAGTCTTTTTATTTTTTCTCAGCACTATTTTGATTCAACCCCCTGATTTTTCTGTGTCATCCATTTGATTCAATATACTAAACTATTAACTTTTTTGAGTAGTTATATTTTCCTTTTTTTTCTGTGATCATAAAGAAGAAGTCAGGTTTTATGTTTATTTTTGTTTTTTTCTACTGAAATAAAAATATTTACTTCTATCCTGGTTGAAGGAGTTTCAAGCTATTTGACAATTAACATTGATCCTTTTATGACTAATATAATAGAAAGCTCATGTTTATTTCAGTAGTATAATATATAGAAGGTGGTAGAAGATGCTGATTCTCTGTGATAGTTGATATGATTCTTTGTTCCATTAATATCTAAAATATTAGTTTAGATATAGTTTTCATTTGATCTAATTTAAAGTTATTTAAAAAGTAGATATTTAGGTGGTAGCATGTAGCATGAGAAAATAGAAGTGCCACAAATTGTTTCTGTATCCTTTCTTAAGTTTAGTTCGTGAATATAAATTTATTTAAATCTTTAGACAATAACTCAAAGGGCCCATGTGCCGTCTCCTACCTGTGGGCTACAATGAAAGGAGAAACTTAAAGAACCACTAAAGGATTCAGTGTTAGAACTAGGCCCTTGCTTCTGGGTCTGAGTCAGGACTATCCTTAGGTGAAATGAGTGATAACATCTTTAATTTTACTAAGGGAGTGACATTACTATAAAGGAATTCATAATAAAGAAGTTTGATGCAGGAGAGGGAAATGGAAGATGGTAATAAACAAGTATTTAAGAAAAAAGTATTCAGAATAGTATCTTCAGATGTTCTTTAGTAAAAAAGTTGAATCCAGACTAAACAAAGTTTTAATTTTCTTAAATGTTCAACTATCATATTTCTCTTTTCAGTTACACCTTAAAATGCTCCCTTCAGAGCCAGTTCTTCTAGAAGAAATGACAAAGTTGTCATCACAGGTGGAAGAAAACTGGATGCATTTACAGTCCCTCTTCAATCAAAGCATGTGTGTTTTAAATTATATAAAAAGTGCTTTGTTATAAAAATGAAGTGAGTAAATAAATCAGACTTTTATATTAAATGGGTTAACTCATACCCTGTTTTCGAAGTTTCAGTGTGGAAAGAAAATAAATGCTAGCACTACTGACTATTCAGTAATTCTCCACTTATACTTCCTTGAAATAAAATACATGCCTTTTGTTTAAAGACTTAATCTACTCGAATTATTTTTCTGAGTCTCTTCACATCAGTTACATGTATGTGACTCCTTTTGAATTGTCATCACTAACTCCTGTTTTTTGATTATCTAACACATAAGATGTTCTAGGTGCTTTGTATAAAGTATTGCTGAATTAAACTGAACATCAGTGCTTTTATGATATGAAGTAAAAAGGCATGTAACTTCCTTAGAGGCCTTGGGTGAAACGTGGATCATTTGACTCTTGGAGCTGAAGGCATGCAGCCTTAGTGCAGCCCCTCTTGTAGTGCCGAAGAGGACACTGCTGAGGTCAGCTTGGGATCTCAGCACTAGACCCAGCTTTTCTGCAGTACTGACCTAGTGCTCTCTCCAGTGTAGGCTTTCTAAGGAACTTGCTCTTTTCTCAGGAACATGAGAGGCAATTTCACAAGGCAGGTCAATGTAGGAGACAGGTGAACAGAGATTCCTAGGATAATTGAGGGAAAATTCTAATTCCAATGAAGAAACCCTTTAAAGGTGTTTCTTCTTCACTGATGACATTTTTATTTGGAAGAAATTGCTGACTCGCCTTTTATCTGAAAACCATTGTAAAGCCAGAATAACTCCAACAGTTTCTCTTTTCTCAGCATTGGTTTCTTTTCTTTTCATGGTTCAAAACTATGTGAATTAAAAATAAGCCATTCTTAACAGCACTACACTCTACAAACTGTTTTTAGTTTATATACTCAAGTAATGTCATTTGCTCTGATGTGATGGTGAGTGTGGGTATGAACTTCACAGTTACAGTGAAGCATGGGTGTTGTCGATGGTGATGGTGAATGGTCAGGTGTAATGGCCAGGACTAGGGTTAGGTTTACATGTTCGCTAAGGTAAGGGAAGGATAGGGTTACAGTTACATTTACAATACAGCTCTGATGTGAGGGCGACAGTAACATTGAGCTACAGTGCTACAGTGAGGCATGGGTGACATCAATGGTGATGGTAGGGGTCTGGACCAAGAGCCAGGGCTAGGGTTAGGGTTCAGTGTTCGGGAAGGTATACAGGAGGGATAGGGTTTTGGTTAGAGTTAGGGTCTGGCTGTGATGTGAGGGTGAGTGTGAGATTGTGTTTCAGGATTACAATTTGGCGGGGGTAACATTGAAACTGATGGTGAGGGGTCAGGTCAAGAGGCCAGGGCTAGGAATAGGGTTAGGAGTTTGGTAAGGTGTACGGGAAGGACTGTGTATGGTTACAGTTAGGAACCAGCTCTGATGTGAGGTCGAGGGCGAGATTGAGGTTAAGCTTTATGGGGAGGCATGGTGGAATTTCAAACTTGACCATGAGAGTTCAGGTGCAAGGGCTGGGCTATGGTTAGGGTTAGGTGTTGGGTAAGGTGTACTGGGAGGAAAGGTTTTCAGTTACATTTAGGGTCAGGCTCTGATGTGAGGGCGAGGGAGAGATTGAACTTCAGGCTTAGAGTGAAGCGTGGGTCACGTCGGTGGTGACGGTAGGGGTCTGGATCATGAGCCGGGACTAGGGTTAGGATTAGGTTTTTGGAAAGGTGTTCAGGGAGGATAGGCTTACGGTTACAGTTAGGATCTGGCTCTGATTTGAGGGTGAGGGTGAGATAGAGCTTCAGTGTTACTGTGAGGCATTGGTGATGTCCATGGTGACTGAGGGTTGAGGTCCAAGGTCCAGGGCTAGGGTTAGGGTTAGGAGTTAGATAAGGTGTACGGTCAAGATAGTGTTATGGTTATAGTTAGGAAACAGGTCTAATATGAGGGTGAAAGAAAGATTGCGGTTCAGGATTTTGGGGAGGTGTGGTGGACATAAATGTTGACCATTACTTATAAGGTGCAAGGGCACGGCTACAGTTAAAGTTAGGTGATCGGTAAGGTGTAATGGTGGATAGGGTTGTGGTTAGAGATAGGATCCGGCTGTGATGTGAGGACTAGGGTGAGACTGAGGTTCAGTTTTATGGTGAGGTGTGGGGGACGTCAATGGTAATGGTCTGGTGTCAGGTCCAGGGGCCCTGGGCTAGGGTTAAGTTTAGTGTCCGGGAGGATAGGGAATCAGTTACACTAATCTGGCTCTGATGTGAGGGTGATGTTGATATTGACCATGAGGGGTCAGGTCCAAGGGCAGTGGAAGGGCTGGACTAGGTGTTCCGGAAGGTATACAGGGATGATAGCATTATTGTTAGATGTTAGGTATGGCTCCGAGGAGATAGTGTGTGTGGGTAAGAAATTCACTGTTACAGTGAAGTGTGGGTGTTGTCAATGTTGACGGTGTGTGGTCAGGTTGAGTGGCAAGGGCTTTGATTAGGCTTTGATGTTTGGTAAAGTGTAATGGCAGGATAGGGTTATGGTTACATTTAGGATATGACTCTAATGTGAGGGCGAAAGTAAGATTGAGCTACAGTGTTACAGTGAGGAATGGGTGACATCGATGGTGATGTTAGGGGTCTGGTCCAAAAGCCAGGGCTAGATTTAGGGTTCAGTGTTTGGGAGGGTGTACAGGAGGGACGGGGTTTCGCTTATAGTTATGGTCTGGCTGTGATGTGAGGGTGAGTGTGAGATTGGGTCTCAGACATATGGTTTGGTGGGGCTGACCCTAAATGTATTCTGATGGGTCCGGTGAAGGGTTCAGGTCTAGGGTTAGAGTTAGGTGCTCAGTAACATGTATGGGCAGAATAGCGCTGTGGTTACATTGAGGATCTGGCTCTGATGTGACAATGAGTGCCAGATAGAGTGACAGGTTTGCAGTGAGCTCTGCGGGGGTGTCGATGTTGATCCTGAGGGGTCAGCTCCAGGGTCTAGGGCTAGTGTTTGGGTTGGGTTTTGGTAAGAAGTACAGGCAGGATAGGGTTATGTTTACATTTTGGATTCGGCTCTGATATGAGGACGACAGTGACATTGAATGACAGTGTTACAGTGAGACACTGGTGATGTCGATTTTCACGTTAGGGTTCTGTTCCAAGAGTCAGGGCTAGGGTAAGTGTTCGGTGTTTGGAAATGTGTACGGAGGTGATAGGGTTTCGGTTCTTGTTAGGGTCTGGGTGTGATATGAGGGTGAGTGTGAGACGGTCTCAGGTTTGCGATTTGGTCGTTTGGACACTGAAATGGTGGTGAAATGTTCGGTGCAGTGATGAGGGCTACGGTTAGAGTTACGTGTTCGGTAATGTGTATGGGCAGGATATCGCTACGTTTACAGTGAGGATCTGGCTCTGACGTGAGATTGAGGGTCCGATTGCATGACAGGTTTATGGTGAGCTGTGGGGTTTGTGTAGTTGTGAGAGATCATGTCCAGGGGCCTGGGCTTGGGAAACGTTTAGTGTTTCGGTAAGGTTTATGTGAAGGATAGGGTTATGGTTAAATTTAGGACTCAGCTCTGATGTGAGGGCAACTGCGAGATTGAATGACAGTGGTACAGTGAGACATGGGTGACGTCGATATTCATGGTAAGGGTCTGTTCCAAGTGAAAGGGCCAGGGTTAGGGTTCAGTGTTTGGGAAGGTGTACTGTGGTGATAGAAGTTTGGTTAGAAGGTCCTGCTGTGATGTGAGGGTGAGTGCGAGAGTGAGTCTTAGGTGTACTATATGGTGGGGCTGACACTAAAATGATGGAGAGGGGTCTGGTTCAATGGCCAGGGCAAAGGTTAGGATTAAATGTTTGGTAATTGGTACTGGATGGATAGCACTATGGTTACAGTTAGGTTATTGCTCTGATGTGAAGGTGAGGGCGTGGTTGAGCGTCAGCTTTTTGGTGAGCTGTGTGTGATGTCATTGTTGACTGTGGGTGGTCAGTTCCTGGGGCCAGGGCTAGGGTTAGGGTAAGGGATTCAGTAAGGTGTATGGGCAGGATAGGGTTATGTTTACATTTAGGACTTGGCTCTGATGTGAGGGCAACAGTGAGATTGAATGACAATGTTATAGTGAGACATGCATGATGTCTATATTCATGGTAGGGTTCTTTTCCAAGTGATACGGCTAGGGTTAGGGTTTGATGTTAGGTAAGGTGTACGTGGGTGATAGGGTTTTGGTTCAAGTTAGGGTCCATCTGTGATGGGAGAGTGAGTATGAGATTGGGTCTCATGTTTAGGATTTGATGTTGAGGGGTCCAGTATAGCAGCCATGGCTAGGGCTGGTTTATGTGTTCTGTAATTTGTACGAGCAGGATAGCACTACGTTTAGGGTGAGGATCAAGTTCTGCTGTGAGGGTGAGTGAGAGATTGAGCGACAGGTTTATGGTGAGCTGTGGGGGTTGTCAGTGTTGAATGTGAAGGGTCAGTTCCAGGGGCTAGGGCTAGGTTTAATGTTAGGGGTTCTGTAGGGTGTATGGGCAGCTTAGGGTTATGGTTACATTTAGGACTCGGCTCTGATGTGAGGGAGACAGATTGAATGACAGTTTTACAGTGAGATGTGTGACGTTGATATTCATGGTTGGGGTATGCTCCAAGGGAAAGGCCTGGGATTAGGGTTCGGTGTTTGGGAACGTGTACAGGTGTGATAGGGTTTCATTTAGATTTAGAGTGTGGCTGTGATGTGATGGTAAGTGAGATTGAGTTTCAGGTTTTCGATATGGTGGGGCTGACACTAAAATAATGGTGAGGGATCCGGTGCAATGGCCAGGGCAAGGGTAAGTGTTAAGTGTTTAGTAATGGGTACTGGCAGGATTGCGCTATTGTTATAATGAGGATATGGCTCTGAAGAGAGGGTGAAGGCGAGATTGAGTGACAGGTTTACGGTGAGCTGTGGGTGATGTCGATGTTGACTGTGACGGTCAGGTCCAGGTGCCTGTGCTACGGTTAGGGTTGTGAGTTCGGTAATCGTTGTGGTCAGGATAGTGCTTCGGTTACAGTAAGGTTCTGCTCTGATGTGAGGGAGAGGGCGATATTGAGTGATAGGTTTACGGTGAGCTGTGGGTGATGCGATGTTGATCGTAAGGGTAAGGTCCAGGGACCAGGGCTATTCTTAGTGTTAGGGGTTTGTAAGTTCTACAGGCAGGATAGGGTTATGGTTACATTTAGGGCTCTGCT